GGGGGGATGGTTCGTGTTTTATCGTATTTTAAAAATTTTATTCTAGGTTATTTAACTCTATGTTCTTTTATTCTATTTCAATATTTTATTCTACTTATCAGAATAAGTAGAATAAAAAAAATTTACTTTCTTTTATTTTCTTCTATTTCCTTTCATTTTCTATTTTATTTTCTACTTTATTTTGTATTATCATCTTTATTTTCTAGTTTATCTTAATTTGATTTTGTTTTATTTTCTATTTCATCTTTTTATTTTCTCTTTCATTTTTATTCTATTTAAATTCTCTAAATGTATTTGCTTTCAATTTTATTTTTGTGTTTTCTTCTGTTTTATTTTCCTATTTATTTTCTTTAATTATATTTATTATTTATTTTCTTTAATTCTATTAATAATACATAATTCTATGTATTTATTTGTGTAACTATATTTATTTTTTCTTTTATTCCATTCCAGTTATTTCCCTCTCTTCCCTTTTATTTCTTTTCTTCTATTCTGCTTTATTTTATTTTTTTAAAAAAATTATTTCTCCATTTTATTCTGTTCTGTTTGTTTTCCTTTACTCCCATTTATTCAGTGTTTGTGTTTTCAGGAGCAGGGACAAGGCAGGGGGGTCCAAGCAGGGCATTGCTCCAAAGGGGGGCAGCTGCAGGGACCTGCCCAGACCTCAACTTTAAGGTCATAAAAAGGAGAAGTGGCCGGAACCAGCCCCTGGTTCAAAGGGAAATGCTCACAAACGTCAGGATAGGGAAACTCAAACCCCGCTGGGAAATCCCTGGGAAGCCCAAAACCAAAGGCGCCAAAAGCTGCACCAGAGCTGGGAGCTCCTGCCCCGTGAGGGGTTTTCCAACACTCCTGGCTGGAGCCGGCTGTTTTCCAGCCCAGGTACCCCAAAATCTCTGCAGAGCCCAGTTCAGCCTCTGAGGTGTTCACAGCCCCCACCCAAACTCACAGAATTCTCAGCAGGAGCTGAGCTCACTGTGAATCACTGGGCTGGATGAGACCTCCGAG